GATTAGTGCATCCCAAACACGCGGCGGATGTGTGAGGCTTCTGGGCGAAGACTCCACCCTCGGATTATGATGACAGCCCCACAAACGTCGGATACTGTACTATATCAGGACCCATCCACGGGGCTACTATTCATCTCTGAGTTGCGAAGTCGGCCGTACGGGTTCATGAGGTGGTATTGTCTGCTTCGGCTTTCAGGGTGCTTGTTGTGGGTAAAACGTTTGGCAGCATGGACTTCTTCGTCGACTGGGACCTAGTGGAGGAGCTAGCAGGATGTGGAGGAAGTGGTAACGCCCCTGGCGCACTGACCCTCCTAACCCCTCCCTGCACTTCACCCTCCGGTTTCTTCTTCCCTCCTCTTCTACTTTTCCCCCCTCTCATCTCCCCTGCTTATTCTCCAAGAGACCCGTGGTCTGGAATATGGGAGGCTTATATTGCTGTCCTTGAAGGGAGACTCTCCTTCCTGGTTTCGAGAAAGATTTGTTTAGCGGATCTCATTTCTTTGTCATTGTTTGTCATCTGCTTCATCGTGTGGACATGTACGGAAACGCGGGATGTGCAATTTCTATTCCTCATATTACATTCATCATGAAAAGATGCAAGTTTATTGCACAGTCTCTCTCTCACAGCATAATAATGAATGGATGTGATGGGCCTACTTCTCCTACCTCCTTGATTCCAAGCTAGTCTCTCTGCATGTACTGCATCTTTGCTGCATGGCTTATATATTTTTTGCCTAATAATGTCGTAATAAGTTAATAACAGGTTTTTGGGGCATACATTGTGTCTCTGCATGGACTGCATCTTTGCTGCATGGCTTATATATTTTTTGCCTAATAACTTAATAATAAGTTAATAACAGGTTTTTGGGGCATACACATCTTACTCACATGCATGGCAATACACGGCCAGACTAACCAAGCGTGGCAAGGAGGGCAGCCCTTATATTGGGTACTTGCTGTTAGTACTACCTTGGTGTCATTCTTGCACGCTCTTAGGAAGACGGGTGCCTGGTTTGTAACCTTCGTTTGTTTCACATTGCTACACTACGTGTGATTGGTATAGGACAAGGAACCTCCCCTTGATTATCCACACTAAATTGGACCGTGAACGGTGTTTCCCTGGTGCCGCGGCGCGTGTGCAAGTCACGCCCACAACTTGTTCCTTGCTATCAGTGGGCGGACGTGGTTGGTCAGAGCTGTGCGGGTATGACTTGTCGTACTTCCGCGTGCCTTAGAGCACACACACACACACACACACACACACACACACACACACACACACACACACACACACAATCAGTTTGTGTACGTCTTTCTTTGTGTTCTCTGTGTCTTTCTTCCTTTGATTTTTTCAAAGTATTTTTGCCTGTCCAGGCGAGCACCTCTAAGCAGTGCCAAACAGTAGGTCATTCCTTATTTGGAGTGCCTGCAGCACTCTTAGGGGGGGTGCTCAGTTCGGTATGTCTGTGCTCCTATGGGTGATCATGGATGTTCATGGGAGTCACTGCCTGGCTCAGCCGGTGGTGGGAACCAACAGTCTGTGGGGTTCACTAGTGATGTGAGTAGGTGATGTGCCACTTTGCTCTGTGCTGGATGTGTAAACTGCCTTGTCTGCACTCCACCACTGCCTCGCTGCCTGTCCAGCTTGCTTCGCAGACCGTTCTTGGCAAGCTGCTGTGTTTACTGTGTGGTCTGGCCGTGTTGTTCTTGTTGCCTTGTGCTTCGCTGCTATGCTGCCTTGCCACCCATCGCTGCTATGCTTTGCTCGAGTGCCGTATAGTGTGGCTGCCTTGCTGGTGTTGACTTGCACGGTTGCTGTGCTGCTCGTCTGCTTGCCCTGCCGTTCCTTGCAGTATTGTGCAGTTGGGTTCCTCTGACGGTGTTGCTTGGTGCTTCGCTGAGTTGTTGCCTGCTGCTGTGTTCCGCTGGTGGACAGTCTGCCTTCAACAAGGGTCAAAGGGTCCATGACCCAAACCATCAATAAGGGGATTCTGCAGATTGTTGCGGGTTCAGCCTCCTGATGAGTCGGTGCAACTCCAACTAAACAATCTATCATCATCAGCTTTTATTTTTTTCAGTGTTTGGGTTTTGCTACTTGTACTTTTTCTTGCCTGTTGCTTGTTGTCTTTTCCCTGTCTTGTGTGCTGCGTGTGTGCTTGGGTGTTGTGCCCTCCCGCCTCCCCCGTGCCCTCCACCCAATGTGTTGCCTCACTGCTTTCGGCTTGCTGTTGCTTGTTGTCTTTTCCCTGTCTTGTGTGCTGAGTATGTGCTTGGGTGTTGTGCTCGACTGTTCAGGATGCCTTTTTAGAGTTGTCAGGACTGGGTTGAATATCGAATATTGTTTTTCAGGATCACAAAGTGGATGGTTTGCGGTGGATATCTCGTGGATGCGGGTCAGGCCATTTTGAACGGAGCCATAGCGTAGGATGCTATGCGTAGTACAACACACACACACACACGCACACACACACACACACACACACACACACACACACACACACACACACAAGGGCTACTGATTGGTGAGCCGCTGATGAACCGCAGGTACCTGGAAGAACGCCAGCTATAGCGGGTGGCACACCTCGAAGCTATGGCGCCAGGTACACGGACTCCTCCACTATACCTCTCCTCCTTCTAGCTCTACTCAGCGCTACTCTACTCTACTCTACAACCAGCCTAGTTATGATGCGTGAATGAACCAGCCCACCTGCTGAATTGGTCCTCCTCCTTGTGTACTACTGAGTGGGCCTTCCCACCTGAGCCATCTACTTGGACTGAGATCCAATGGCTTCGGTGGAGGGCCGTGGTCGTGGCCTTCTACTGACAAAATATGCAAGAGAAGGAAAAAATGGAAAACCGAATGAAGTCAGAACAGACAAACGCCCACACACCTGCCTGAAGCTCCTCGCCCAGGGCCCTCACAATGCCTAAGGCCCTCTAGGCCAGTCCTAGGCTTCGAAGAGGGTCAGGGGGAAGGGGCCAGCGGAACATGATGTCCAGGCCTCCTAGGCCTGATGAAGCGTGCCCCCAAGGCCCCACATGGCCCCGCTGTGCTCACCAAAGCAGGCCATCAAGTACATTATTTGTCAGTCTCAAAAATTACTGCATTACCTGGTTTCACTCCGTCAAGTCTCTAAGCTGCACTCGTCTGGCCATCCTAGATAAGGTCCCCGCTGCAATCAACTCTTGTCTTTTCCCAGCTTGAGAAGAGAGCAAGTATAATCTTCTAGTCTGAACCTGACGTGCATGGACCTATGTCTATTGCAAGGACAAAGCACTGTTCATTTGTTTTCAACTTGGAGACCTGCCTTCCCCTACCTATTCTCTCGATATTTCCCTTGGGGCCCTAGATAAAGTAAGCCCACATAGTATCACACCCAACCCACACAGTACCACGCCTGTCTATTCTCTTGATATTTGCCTGGACCTGAAAATAAGGTCACTCCACATGGTACCACGCCAAACCTACATAGTGCCACCACCACCCCCATAATGACACACCCAACCCACATAGTACCGCATACACACCTAATACTACACCCAACCTTCACCACCACCCCCATAATGACACACCCAACCCACATAGTACCACATGCAGCCCACCTAATACTCCACCCAACCTTCTGGTGTGACAAAGCCAACACAGAATCAAACCAGGAAGGCCAGCAAAAGGAATACAGACAATAGTTAGGTTCCATCCAGCTGCAAAGGTAAGGTCTGTGATGAGTTTGCTGACCTGGCCTTTGACAAGTGCTGCCTCTGCCAACAGCTCGTCTGCTTCTGCTCGGTGCTCTGGCCAGACACGACCGCCTGCATCTCTTGGCATCCTGGCCTGTAGTGCTCTGACTTGATCGACATCGCCCTTTTCAGCAAATCCCCTCATCACAGCAAGGAACACATGCACACGTGGCCGCAGCTGTGGGTCCTCCTTTGCTTTCTCCTCCATCTCAGTCATAATTTTCAACGCTTCTGTGAAAAAGGGGTAAAAAAAAAAAAAAAATTAAAAAATTGAGGGTGGAATAATGTCAACCTGACTCAACCACTTTTTTTTTTTTTTTTTTTTTTTTTTTTTTAACTCAACCACAGATTGGAATGGGAATCCAAAAGGATTTGAAGTGCCAACTCATGGTCCGTTTATAGACAGTCACTGACAGTGTTGCACCCTTCAGCCAGTACAGCCCAACATGCAGGTTGAACTACGTTACAAAACCAGTTATAAGAACAATAATATAATAATTGCAAGGAACCACACAATGAGAACAGCAGTTTTCTAGAATACAAAACCTCATAGGAGAAAAGCAGACTACCAAAGCGGAAATGCACACCAAGTAGGAGCAAACAGTACACTGAAGTCTCTCGATAAAGAAAGCCCTACTTCTTGCCCCCACATCCATGCAACAACGATGTACTAGCCTAGCTATGGCTGGCGGTCACTTACAGCCACCAGAGCTGCTCTCCTGGATACTGCGCAACAGCGCTGCTCGGCAGTTTGCCCCAATGTGCTCTCACTGGCAGCCTCCTTACTTGTGTCCTGTAGTGGAGGCACTGGACTGAGGCATGAGCATACGAGGCAATGATCGACATGTGGATCACTACACTCCATTGATCAGGCCTACCTGCCTGACCTCAGCCATTTTTTATTTCCATGTAGTGTGCTGCTCAGGGAAAATGTTTCAACAGTTAAGGGTACAGTGAAGTTGATTTTATTTGCCAACTTCAGTTTATTTAAGTGAACTTGAGAGACATATGTCATTACAAAGATTTGGTTTTCCTAAAAAATGTCAGTTCATTCAGCATAATTCGTAATTCATATTCGTGAAAAAGTTTTGCAATGTGCAAAGTTGCTGGGTCAAAGGAGTAGTTGGGCAACCAGCAGCTAACCAAACAAGCAAAATTAGCAAATACAGTTTAATACACGAGCAATCATTCACAAGATGCCTGACCTTTTGGGGAACCCACTTGAATAAATGCATCGACAATTGCTGAGTAAGCAACTCGGTCCAAAATGACTCGTGGTGCCGTCTTCATCTCATCCACAAGCGCTTTCAATTCTTCCACACTGCCTTTCCTCCCCACACCCTGTCAGAAGGAAACAAAATGCACAATTTTGTTCAAGTTAGCAGCATGCCAGTAGGCATGCAAGCCAATTTGTTGTGAAAAGTTTTGAGGGAGGGTGGAGGTGGGGGCTGTCTGAGGGCTGTAGCCTGAGCCCGATGTATTTCCACTTTCATACGAATGCGTTGCAGCAGGGAAGCAAGCTGCTGGGGCGGTCGACAGGGTGATAAGAGCTGACAGTAGGAGAAGGAAGCAGTGAAAGCGCAAAAGGGCCAAAGCGATCAAGTGACCGACCGGGCAAGCGACTTTCTGACCAGGTGCAAGCGGACAGTCATCCATCAGAAAAAAGGGACGCTCTGACTGGGCGGTGAATGGTCTAGGTGACAAGCTAAAAGCGGCTGTGAGTCCCCTTACCCAGGGCCCAGTGGAGAGAGGAAGGCAAAGGAGTGGCAAAGAATTCTTGAAAGCTTGGTAACATCCGTCAAGAAGGTACGTGACAATCCCCTTCCTGCATGTGGACTAGAA